TGCATCCTTTGCATTCCGATTCCCAGAGCAAAAAAAAAAGAAAAGAGAAGAAGAGGAAAAAGAAGACGGAGAGTGGAAGGAAGGTACATCTCCAATACCGGTGTCTCGAGGAAAATCTTTCGGCCCGTCTGCCGCGAATTGTAGCCCGCCCGAGACGGTCGAGGGCATCAGAATGGAGACGTCTTCCGAATGAATCGAAGTACGGCGAGTGAATAAAATGTTTGACTTGCAAGATCATTATCGGACTCGTAATACGGAGCACGCGGATTAGGTGCCTTCGTCTTAATGAGATCTTTCTCAATCTCGTCCGATTTTGCCTTCGACATTCTAAATATTGACATCGAAATTTAATTTCGGACCGGAACAGGAAGAAGTTTGACGAGCGCGTTGAAGCGCTACGCGCGACATGTATAGAGAGCGCGGGATAACGTATAGATATTTCGTGTTTATTATTCGAATGTGGACTGAATTTGGTTAACGAAGACCAAAGTTTGTTGCCGAATAACAAGCGCCTCCCAAGTTTCCGTTCATTACTGTCGGTCGTAAATGATAAAAGCGAACGCTGGCGGAAGTAATTGGTCAAAATTTGATCCCCGTGCCATCAAGCCGTGTTGCTGCCGCTCGAACTGCAGCTGTTGCTGCGAGGCGGAATAAAGGAAGAGCGGTTAATTTGATAAGGTAATTAGAAGTAATGTCTGACAGAATTGCGCGCCCAAAGTTTGTTAAGACATCGGTGCTTAAGTCGCGACAGATGTAATAATTACGAATTGCCGGGACGCCAGTTGATCAATAAAGGCGATCGCGCTTCGAAACGCGCGAAAACTCCCTTCTAATTCGCATGGCACTGTTTTGACACTTATGTCGTTATTGCGAGGCAAATTTCGTTTCAGCATGTGGAAGCAGGATTGTTAATATTGTCGCTTATTGTCTTCTTTACTCTCTTCTTAATAAATTCTTAATAAGGGGATTAAGAGACGAGGCAATCAATTAAGAAAGAAGCGCAATTAGCAGATTGAGATTCACATTATTGGATAAGATATCGAGAACAAAGCGGCTTGAAAGTCTTCTCTCTTAACGCTGTTTTTATACGGAATGAATTAAATCCCTTACGTTTTGGAATGTAATATCACTGCAGAAAGAATCCGTGAAGGACTGGGTATTATTACTATTATTATTCTCTATTATACGTTTTTACTTTTAAAACGTCGACGATGAGACGTCCAAGATTTTGCATTGTTTAAGATTTAATCACGATATGGACGGGACGCTTGTAGGTAATTTATAATTCAGATTTGAACATAAATTTTTATGCCACTATTGCACACGTGGTCGCATTCTCGTGCAAATTACAAAATTGGAAAACAATTTAAAAAATAATTACAAAAATTATCAAAAGGTGGGTACTCCAATTGTATGGATACGTTTACTCTGCGAGCTTATATGTGTAACTACCAACGACGATCTGCAAACGTAACATGATGAACTGACAGCGGAAAAATGGTTTAAAAAATTTGAACAAATAATAACCTGGCCGCTGATGACCGACGAAGATCAATTCGTACTTGTCATCGGATAGCTTTCGAAATTTATATTGAAAAATGAATATATTGTAGTTGATCGGTGAAGAGTGATTTTATTGAAGTTTGCTGTCGGGTCATAATCGCGTCAGATGTGAAAAACACTTTCAAGAATGTTTAATTTAATGTTAAAAAAAAAAGTATAATTACATTCGCATAAGCCATGAAAAAGTGTTTCGGGTTTTTAAGACACAAACTTCCACTCCCCGCGCGAGCTCGACGCAAATTTATTTGAACAATTAATAATAATGATTACATCTGTACGCATTTATACCGAGTGCCGTGTGCGCGCGAGCGCGCAAATTTTCTTCGTACGTACCGTTTAAAAATGTTTAACAATAGCAATAAAGCACGAGAAGAACTAAGCAGCACGGCGGTAGATAAAGTTGTGAAAGATAACAAACGTTTTATGCTGAAACAGCTCGCAGAGTGAGCGGAGTTTATAGAAGCATTTGAAAATATGGTGCACTCTCGGAAGCAAACACGCTCATTTCGAAAATATCGTAGTATCAGATAGAAATAAAGGAAAATTCTAAGGATACTGTTCTTACTGCGCGATTCTCCGGAACCGAAGCACAATTATGAGAAAACACACGGTACGTCTTTGTAAAACACGAGGTTTTTTTTTTAACTAAAAGTTAAATACAATGTAAAAGAACAAAACAGCAGCGCTAAATTGTTGAGTGTAAAAATCTGTCTCCCTAAAAGCGACGTCCTCGGCCCCCAGAAGGGGAAGATAAATCGCGTCATCGACGTACTGAGCGCTGTATTTTTCCAATAAGAGAGAACGCGGGTTTAGAAGCGCGTTTTCGCGGAAGCTGCGTCACGGAGGTAAAGTATCTGCGAGAAGATGGCGAAGCAGGCGAGTATATCTCGGATATGTCTGCATTCCGGTGCGCGTTCGCCACGATTTGTTCTTCCTCTCCCCCCCCCCTCTCTCTCTCTCTTTTTCTCTCTCTCTCTCTCTTTCCCGTCGAAAGAATTCTCACGTATCTGCCCGCCTTCTCGCGGCACGACGCAATCGTGTGGAAAAGCAGCGGTCCAGCGGAGAGCAAATATTCAGTCGAGAGAATTTGTCTCATCGGAAACAACCCAGTTCTACAACGCGAAAATAGCATAGTTGTCTCGCGAGAACTTTCAGAATGCAGGGTGGATTTCGCTCGAGGAGCTAAAAACTATAACGACATGTCTATAAAATTTCTTCAATTCGCGTCGTACGAAGATAAATATTATGTCAGAGGCTTGAAAAAAAAACTCGAGAAGAACGTTCTAAATGCGTGCCCATGTTTTCAGTATGCGCGAAAATCTTGAACAAATTTATATAAATTATATAACGACGGCGGAGGTGAACGAGAGATCTCTCTAAGGTTCAATTATATTATAAATTAATCAGCTCACTTGCCGCCAGCAGATCGCGAGTTATCCGATGGGCTCCGCCCTTCGGGGTTTCAAAGAGATGAAGTATAAGAATGATTTATTATACGGCAATTTCCAAAGTGTTTTTACACTTTTTATTAATTATTCTTTTAATTACGAATTTTTTGACCTTTTTAAATATATATACAAATTTCTAGAATTTATTTATAAAGGTATTAATGTTTGTGAAATATTTTCAAAATTTCGATCATCTATCGTCATCAAGATATTATTATTGCAATAAAAATGTAACCAATTTAATATATCATAGCATTAAATTTTTATAGGATTTAAAGGTTCCCCACTTCTAAAGCGCAAGTGATGATTATACCAAATTATTTGCAGCATGGCAAAAGGCATGTTTAATTTTCGCCATGCAGATCGTTTTGCCTTTGATTCAAACCGGTCAATCAATGTAGACACACATACGCGCGCACAACTTTTGAAATTTTTACAAACGCGAAAATCGGAAATGGTTTTTCGATATCTCCGAATAGTTTTGGAAGTTCTCGCCCGTTACGTTTTTTACATCATTGCGAATGCATATACGTCACTCCGTTCGGACGTGTTGAAAAACTCGCTCACTGACTCACTTCCACTCACTTCAACTTACTTTACTAACTTTTCTGATTGTCATGTAGCAGGTGCTCTTACATGTACCAAGCTCGTATTTTTTTTTTGAAGCGTGAAATTTGAACTTTAATCCGACTGAACGTTCAATTCTGTTCACTTGTCGTTATTTTATGTAAAATCACGTTGGTCGACGCACGTAGAAATAGTTTATTTTACAAAGAGAAAAGAAAAACTACAGCTTTTAATTGGGGATGAGAAAAGAGCAACGTTTAAAATGATTCACCTCTCCGAGGACTGCAAAAAGTATAGTCCCTATCGCCCGTCGTCTTCCAACTATGAGCATTGCAAAACGCTCGACCTACTTTGACAAAGTAAATCCAAACTTTCGTGGGCTCGTCTATAACAAGGCCGATATCAAAACTGTTATTCCATAAGAGTCATCCTCTCTGGTAAAATGGCACGCGTCCAAGGTGCTGTGAATCAGAGCAAAACATTCGCACTGCAATCTTCTCCAGTTTGCAGTGCGTATAATATACTTCGGCCCGTTTAAGAGGAGCGCAAACAGATACGATCAATTAAACGTTATTTACGGCCCGTGTAGCGGAAGGAGCGCTCTTTATCCGTTAATGAAGTTTAGCGCGCGTAATATCTTTAAGCCCGCACTCGCAACGCGAATGAGGTACAGCGAGTCGCAGTGGTAATATCGACGAATGCGTCGGCGAGCGAACGCCGTCGATTATAATCCCGACCGGTGATCTAACCGAACCGAACTTGGCTGTAATGATGTCGTTCCGGCCGGTCGTAGAGCGGCTGCGAACGACTCCCTATTCTCTCAAGAAGAACGCAGATATCCACCCTCACGTCCCTTTCCCGGATCAGCGGATCTCGGAACTTTCGGTGGAGCAACCGAGGTAACCGTAGGAGGCGCGCGTAGAGGGTCGGAGGCACCAACGACTCCTTTAACGACTCTTCGCCCAGGCCCAACTTAGTGGGAACTTAACCGTTTTACGTCTTTCCTTCTTGGCGCGATACGGAAGAGCGAACATTATCCCTCTTTCCCCCTCCCCCCCTCCCTGTCGCTACCCGTTCTCCGGCAATATAAACTGAAGCTGATAGAACCGCATAGTGCTCCAGGACTTTCATCAAAGACCATCCTCTTCTGCGTGGAGTGTTGTTTAAACTAAAGAGTACCCTCCGGGTTCGAAATTACCGACCGGAGAAGCACGTTTCCTTTCCTCCCCTTCTCAGCGTCCGCCGTTACTTGCGCATCAACGGGCGAAGGAGCAATGGAAGATTCACTTCGATGAATTCTTCCGTTCGAAGTTCGGATGGAGAACGGCGCGATAATCGCATCCAAGTCACTCGAGGAAAAACTCTCCTCCCCCGCCTCCCGCCCTTTCGGCTGAACTTAGCACTGTACATGATGAAACTTACCCCCCACTATCAGCAGCAGATGAAGCAGACCACATCGCATTTTTTTATACTTCCGGCGAAAGTCTTTATCCATCCTGCCGGTGAAGGATCCTCCGATGTGTCACTGTGAACGCGCGCACGTCGCGCTTCTTGTCTACATATATCCTCGCTCGCCGATCGGTACCGCGGCGCTTCCGTTTCCGCGGTTTCCCATAAAAACAAGAAGGGTAAGTGGAGACTTAGTCGCGCGAACGGAAACGCGAAAACGCGCGGGCGCGCGACGACATCGGGCGCGAACACGCGAGACCGAAGAGTCGTCGGACAAGGTGGGCGAGAGACTCGACGGGTTTCTCTCTGGTACCGCTCGCGCGTACGAATCAGCCGGAACCGCGGGAGCGCTCGAAATCGGCAAGACTGGGCGACACACGGCGCGGGCGCCACGCGGCCGCGATAGTTCCTGACTTGCAACTGACGAGGGATGCTGCACGAAGAGTTTGCGCCAGCTTCGCGCCCGCGCACAGAATCCTTATTCCCCTTCGCCCCCTAACCGGCCACAGTCAGTTAGTCAGTCTCTCTCTCCCCGTCCCGCATCTCCGTTTATCTCGCGTTCCTCCGTTCCACGTTCTCGCTTGCCCCCTCCCCCCCCCTCCTCGTTCTGGCTCTACCGTCTACCTTCTCTTTCGGCGAGCGATATCAATCCGCCCCTCGCCCTCTCTCTCTTTCTCTCTTAGGCTCTCTCTCTCTCTCTCTCTCTCTCTCTCTTTCACCCTCTTATTCCGGCACCCGTACTCACACGAGAACTTCTTTCTCTTTTATGCAGCCCTCTATCGCTGTAGTTGTCTTCTGACTCACTCACTATTACAGTTTTTCCGTCACTCGCTCCGTCCTTCACGCGGCGTGTCACGCCGTTTCGCCTCTCTCTCTCTCTCTCTCTCTCTCCTTTCTCTCTTTTGCACGCGGCAAACGATCGCGCTCCCATCCATCCTCCGGATTTCTCTCTATCCTACCTATCCAACTCTACCTCCCTCTTCCCTCTCCCTTCCCCCCCCCTCCTTCTCTCTTGGTCGCCCCCCGTTTATCTGTCTTCCATCCCCCACCGCGATCGCACCCACCATCTCCACCACATATCTAACCTCGCGCGCATCCTTTCGGCGGCTGTATCTCAAACACTAAAGAGTTTCTTAGGAAATTGAATTGAATGCCACCCTTCCCCTTGGTTTCCGTCTCTTCGACGGCGACTCCCCCCCCCCCCTCCTCCGTTTCCGTTCTCCACCGCGCGCTCTGTCTTTTCCACCGTTCCCGCGCTCTCCCCCGTTACTTTCGGGGGTGACTCGTCTCCCGATCGTCCCTTCTCGTCGCTCGTTCTCTCCCTCTCTCTCTCTTTCTCTCTCTTTTTCTCTTTGTCTTTTCCCCGCACTGTCTCGTTTACCCTCGCACTCGGTATATCGTCCGTCTTCGTCTCCGTCGTCACCCTCTTCCCAAGAGTTCCCGCGAAACTGATTGTCTCGCCGTTAAGCGGCAATTTATATGTTAACAGGCTCGAATCGGTCGAGAGTCATGCATACGTTTAAGGAATGGGATTTCGTAAGAGAGGGGTTTGGATAACGACGAAGATGACGGCCGCGCGCGAATGTCCAAAAATAAATTCTTCACGTCCGCACTCCGCTTTTTACTTGCTCCATTCAGCTCTCATTACAATATTTGCGTTTCCCAATATCGCGCGTTAATGCTCTCTTTGCATGCTGCAGGATGGAAAATATATAAATCTAAAGGCATAAATTATGTAATATTAAATTATTAATTTCTCTACTAATCCCTTTATCTGATATCCTAAAAGCCCGCGTATAGAAGGGCGAATATGTAAATGGGACGTGTACACGAGGGACTTCGTTATTATAATCTCCTAACGAACTACGCGAACATTTTTATTCTTCGGATCCAATTATTTGCGTATGTTTTTGCGGGTTTGTTTTCGACAGAGCTACAAAAGAGCTTGCTCCACGCAAAGCAATTAGTTTCTCCCCAGGAACTAACATGAAGCGGCTGAATTTGTGTATAAAGTTAGCGCAGAGAACTGCGTTGCAGTATGACAACAGTTCAGTTTAATATCCTGCGACATCATCGTGTTAAAGTAAACTTTGATCACATCGCTTGGCATTCATTTAACACTCGTATAGTCGCATGAATTTTCGTAACTTTGTACTTACAGCGCTGTCATATAATAGCGTGATATGAGCAGCGTAAGTATAACGTATATTCAAAGAGCAGACCTGTCTTAAATGCATTAACAGAGCAACAGAAACGAAGAATATTAAAACTATTGCAATGAGAAAGAAGTGAAACGAGAAACAATTGTACAACACAATCGTATCTAAACTTGCGCGAATTAGTTAAACTTTTGCACAATTATTTCATAATGTTAACCCTAATCGGTATTTTCTCCGAAATTTCCTTAACTAGTATTCGCGGGTCCAGTGAAATCCCGATAAAACTTTAAATTAATGTATCGTTTGCTAGGCTAATTGAACAACTTTTTTTCATTTTAAAGATAACAAGAAGAAATAAGATAATAATAATAATTTAAAGTTTATATATAAAAGTAAAAATAATTTTATGTTATATAAAGTTGTAGAAAAACTTTTGTTATATCTTTTCACAATGCTACCTGGAGATTTGGCATGTAATTGAAAAAAATATATCGGAGTCCATTGAACTGCAACCCGTGAATGCCGATTAGCGTTAATATAACAGTATCTCGCAGTATAACAATTAGCCCTAAAATGCAAAATATTGTAATCGAAATAATAAACGCAGCGCGACGCGCGGAAGCACGTTTGAAGGATGAAAAATTCTTAATGAGAAAACGTCTCGTAAAATAACAATCGTGAATTTCCTGAGAGCTCATGTTGTACTATGCAAATTATATCTTTTTTTCGCTAATGCGCGCCCTTTAAGCCCGTAAAAATACAAGTGCACAAAGTGAACTCTCGGCCGACAGTGGGATTTCGAAAGATCCCGTATAAGATCTCGAGATTGACGCGGAACATATAAGGAATTTAGTTGGAAAAGTGTCTCAATTAAGCTATTCGATCGCTTCCCCTGCTTATTAACCGCGTGCGCGCGTCTGCCTCGTTTGTTTTCGTTGCCGGCAACGCGATAATTAATATGGTACCCTCGCGAAAGTCAGCTCGTTACCTCGTACAACAGAGTACGGTCGAAGCCGACCGAACGGTGGTGGGTGCTGCTGCTGCTGCTGCAGCTGCAGCTCCACTCCATAATTTGTCGCCATGACGAGCTGGCGTCGTTCATCAGAGCAACTCTGCGACACCGTAACGCGCGCGGATCCGCAAATTTCATCAATGCGTCATACGTAACGAAGGATCGAACACTCGCGCCGCGTGCCAATCGGACGCTCCTCGCCGACGATGGACAGAAACGGGTGAGGAGCGGGGGAGGGAAGGGAGGACTGCGGGGTATTGTCTGCGTGTAACTTTGGCAAACAGGCCGTCGGGAAAATATGGTGGTGGCGGGTGGGTGAGTCCTATCAATTCGTTGACTCATTAGACGGCGGCGCGTTACGCGAATTCTCCAGCGCGATGTGCCCCGAGGGGGGGGGGAGGGCGGAGGGGGAGAGAAACGACAGAACACCGCGAGCTCGTGGTTTCGCCTGCGAAAGCATTGACGCATTTGATTAGCGAGGCATACGAAATTAACTCATGAATAATTCTATCTGTTGCAAATTACTCGTGGCGAATCAACGATGAAGATGACATAGCGGAATCAATATCGAGAGAGAGAGAGAGAACATTACGAGAGCATTACGGTCTCTTTTTGTACGCCGCGGCCGGTCGGTATAAACAGGAAGAGGTGACTTAGCGGCTTGCGTGCGCTTTTACTTGTTGCACTCGCTTCGTGTTGCAAAAGGAGCGGATACTGATCGGACGGTGTTTTTTAAATGCCCCAAGTATCTTCTCGCAAATATATATATATATATATATATATATACACATAAAAAAAGAATTTCCCAAGAATTTCTCAAACTCGTTCCTAGGAGGTAAAGTAATTCCAAGAGTAATTCCGGCTCACAGGCAAACCACTTTTGACGGAGTTACGAGGCGCGCAAGAGAATATCGTTCATTTTGGGTAAAATATCGGATAAGATATACAATTTAAAATTTATCTATGCGTAAACAAGGTAGCTACTAGCGTAACTACTGTTTAAACAATATCTGGCAGATTATATTCCTCATCCGCAATGTTAGGAATGGATTGATCGCCGCCGAGGTAAAACTTTCAGCGCGG